ACCTTTAAAAAGTACTTGATTGAACACTTGAAGTATTATAATATTCAAAGCTATAGTCCTAGTGCGGTTACATGGGACTTGTGTAGGTAGAAGTGAATTTTTGGCAGTTCAGATTTTATGGGTTAAAGGGTCTCATCGGTACTATATGAATTTTATGATACTGAATATACAGTTCCCAACTTTGATCTCCTCATAACCATATCTCCAAACCACCTAACAGTCTAACAGGCCACTCCCACAAAAGTCAACTGCATGATACTAACATTTTGAAAAACAGATCTGTTGTTTTTCTACGCTAACAATTTCTCTAGAAATATTGCATATTCCTAAAAGCAACCTCTCAAAATTAAAATCAATCTCTTGGAGCATTCCTTGGATATTCTGCAATTTCATCCAACTCACTCCCGATATGTGATCAATCTCAGAATCTCAACCTGTCTGTTCAGCAATCATGTTAAAAAAATGGTGATAGCAAGAACAGCAGATGCCGGAATTCAGAGTCAATAGAATGTGGAGCTGGAGTAAAGCAGCAGGTCAGGCAGCATCAGAGGTACAGGAAAGTCAGCGTTTCAGTTCGGGACCCTTCATCAGGTGAAAGGTCCCAACCCGAAACATTGACTTTTCTGCTTCTCTGATGCTGCCTGACCCGCTGTGTTCCTCCAACTCCACACTGTATTGATGCGTAAAAAAATGTATTTTCTTCAGCTTTTCCTGGGTTTTGTGCAATGCTCCCATGTTTAGCTTCTCAGCAAGGCTGGCATCTTAACAATATGGGCCTCAAATATTCATTGGACAGAAGCCCCACTTCACGATGTTTCCGACCCTCCAAAAGTCATTGCAAAATTTGAAAGCTGCTCATACTTATACAATCACTTCACATGATGTCAATAGCTCTCATGTTAATATTTAACATTTATTGACTTGTTTCTCATGTAAAGTTCATATTTCATTGCCATGTATAGAAAATAAATTAATTTAGATAAAAATAGTGTTATCAAATTATGGTAGCCCCTGAGGCCTGACTACTCTTTCCTAAACCACCTTTTGAACCTCCTGTAATTTTAATAAGGAGACGACTGAATGTAGTCGTTTATTCCAATGAACCGGAATTCAGTTTAAATTATTTGGTGTGGATTTTACAAGAATTATACTTTATTATGACTGATCTAGAGTCCATATTTCCCAACTCTTTGTTGTCCTATTTATGTTTCTCTTGAATTCCTTGGAGTGGCCTTTATGAAGTAAGTTTGAATTGCAGTGTTACCAACCAGTCTAATCAAAATATAGTGAGCTGTTTTGGTAAGCAGTTGAGATTATTTCTTTTTAAGTACATTTACAGTACAATGAAGAGTCAGGACCCTGTTTATAAACTAAATCATAGATAAGTAACATTTTCCTGGAGATCATACGCAAGATTATAATACCAAACCTTTTGAGGCCTACAAAATCACATGGTCAGCTGCTTCATTGATTTGGAATTCTCCAAAATATTATTTCCCCAATCTATCTTTTATTTTCCAAAAATGGAAAACACGTTCAGTCAATAAGTATTTGTGGAGAGGACAGAAAAGTTAATGATTCATGTCAATGGACATGGACACAATGGGCTAAATAGCCTTCTGTGCCACAAATGATTTTATGACATTAAGTCAAGTTGCCATTAAAAAATATATTTATCTTTTATTCATATATGTTTACTGATTGTTGCGTGTCACTTATGGGTATGTGCTTGATGTATACCAGGTAAGCTGTTTGGTCTGAAAACAAAAACAAATGCTGGAAATACTCAGCAGGTCAGGCTGCATCTGTAGAGAAACAGAGTTAAAACATTTCAGTTTGATGATATCTGAAAAGAGTTGGGTCTATTGAATTTGGGATAAGCAATGATGATAAATATATCCTAATCGGCATTTACCCTTTTTCATGAGGTAACTTTAAAATAAATATTAGCTCAGACCTTCTAATCTCCAAATAGTCAGAGACTGTGGAGCTACAGAACCTTGCTCACTACCACATGGAACTAGATTACTACACAAATATTTTAGTGATCTCCCTTGTGAATGCAGACAATTTTTGGCACAGTTATCCTGAGTATTTTTCAAAAATCTATAAGCACAGGTCTTCAACAAGAAATCACATGACCAAGGCAAGTGTACTTATATGGCTCTCTCAACCTGGTACATTGATCTCCCATCATTTTCACATGATAGCTCTTAGGAAACTCGACCAGAAGACATAGGAGCAGACATATGCCATTCAGCCCAACACTACCATTCAATGAGATCATGGCTGATCTTATAATCCTCAGTTCCACTTTCCTGCTTTATCCGATAACCCTTGAATCTCTTGCTGATTAGAAATTTGCCTATCTCGACCTTTAATACACTTAACAACCCAGGCTCTCTAGTCCTCTGCCGTAAAAAAATTCCGCAGATTCTATACCTTCAAAAAAGAAACAAAATCTCTTTATCTCTGTCTTATATGGATGATGTGTTACTCTAAGATTAGGCCCTCTGATCCTAGACTCTCACCAAAGGGGGATAAACCTTTCCAGACCTAACTTGTCAAGCACCCTAAAAATCATATATATTTCAATATGGTCTTCTCTCATTTTTTTAAACTTAAATGAGCACAAACCCAAACTTCTCAAACTTTCCACGTAAAAAAATCTTTCTATCCAGGATCGCTCTCATTACTCCTTAACTCAACAACTGCAATGACTGGTCTCTCTCCCACTTTCTGCCCCCCATGAATTTAAGTTCATCCAAAACTCTGCTGCTCGCGTTTTAACTTACAGCAGTCCTGCTCAATATGAGTCTTTGCTTGCTTGACTTGGGAACCAGTGAAAGTCAGGAATATCCTGATTTTAAGATTCTATGCCTGCCTTCAAATCCCTCCATGGGCTTGCTCCTCCCAGTTGTTCTTCAAACCCACAACCCTCTGAAATATCTGCACTCTCTCATTTTGACCTTGCCAATAGTAATTGGCTCACCATTGCCAGCTGTGTCTTCATTTGACAAGGTGCCTGGGATTCCCTCCCAAATCTCTTCACCTCACTTTCTTCCTTTAAGGCACTTGTTAAGGCTTACCACTTAGACCAGACTTTCAATGATCTGACCAAATATCTCCTTATCTGGCTCATTGTCATACTTTATATTATAATACCCCTAGACAACACCTTGGGACGTATCATTATGTTAAAGGCATTCTATAAATATTTGTTGTTGCTGCTATGTAAATAAGGCAAAAGAAGACTCCAGGAGCTGTTTTTGCAGAGAACCAGCACAGACACTATGGGCAGGATGGCCTCCTTCAGCACTGAAACTATTCTATGATCCCAGTCATTTTTTCCCCCTGGGTAAAGTGCTTTCATTTCTTCACCAGGTTTTTTTAAAAAGCGCATTGTTTTCCTGTGGAACTATTGACAAGTACAGTATCTGCAGAGTTAGCTCCTAAGCAACCTTGCCCTTCCCTCTTCCTCTAAAGCCCTGCACATGCCATGGCAGTTTAGTTAAACTTTATGACAGTATGGAAACTGTCTAACTTCAAAGTTTGCGCAGTGAGCTGCCAAGAATTTTCAGGGCTGCCAGGTTTGTTGCAACACTGTGTACAGTTAGAAAATGGGAAAAGTGGAGTACTGTGGGAAGTCTGATGACTAGCACAGCAGAAGGCTGGGCCTCAATTGCTGAAGGGTGTAATCGTCATGGAAAGGGCATCATTTTTGGACAATTTTTGTGGGCGTTTCGTCTCCGAGGGACACATGTGGAAGTGCTATTGTAGAAAAGAATTAGGCTCGGTCAGTTCCCTGTAGTCTATTCAACCATAAACTAGGGCAAAAAAAAAGTTTGGCGTTGACACTTCACAGACGCAATCGAATGTTTTCCACATCCTCCGAGAACGAACGGAAATTGGATTTGGATAGAGCGGGTAATTGCCAGTAAATACAAACTTGATAAGCATTTTCCGGTTACGAAACATGCCAGGATGCGTCGTGCATTTAAAAAAATCAGCCGAGACCGCTGCAAATGCAAAAGCATTAACATTTAAAAAACACAAATTAAAACAAAAAGCCGCTATAAGATTTTTAAGAGGAAGTTATGATTTCAAGGGGCCATGTTGGAGGGGGACAACTGGCGACCAGAATCAAAGCCATACATTTGCAGGAGTTCACGCGTTCGGGTACAATTAGCCCAAGAGAAAACATATTCCCCAGGTCCTGTGGGCAAAAAGCTCCAAAGATCCAGGGCAGCTAGAAAAAAAACTATGTTGCAAGAGAGGCTTTTTTTAATTTAAAAAAAGCAGCCGAAACAGAAAGCGAGCCGGTATAGGCGCGTGTGTGTGTGTATGTCTCTCTTCTCTCACTCTCTCTAAACTCCGGGAGTCGCCTCCAGCGGTGCAGCCTTTGTTTTGAAGAGCCCGGCGATGTCGACTACCGCCTGCCTGCCTTTATATGGCATCACAAAGGCCGGGCCGCCGGGGAAGAGGAGGGGAAGGATCGCTTACATTCCAGGCACCCCGCCATAAAAGGAGCGCCTGCCTTTATATGGCCGCACAAAGGAAGCAGCCGGACTTGTGAGGGAAAACACCCCCGCATTCTTTCTCCCGGTTAGGTCAGACGCTCCTTTTATGGCGTCACAAAGGCAACGCCTGTTGCGTTCACCCCTCCCCCCACTGTCTGTTTGTGTGTGTGTGTGTGTTTATGGGGCTTGGGGGGGGAGTGACGGGGGGGCGTGTCCGTTTGGAATTGAGAATGAGAACGCGGTGACTCGGCCTTCCATTCCCATTATGGAGCGAACGCCCATGTAGGGGGTGGGCGGGGCGGACGGGGAACTCGGGAACGCCCTGCTCCCACCCATTCCGTCCGGCAATGGCAATCAGAGGAGTTCACCGGCGCTGAGGACCGGCCCCCCGGTATCCCCATATTAGGAGCGTGTGACCTTTTTTGCCGCACCGAGGCGCGCCCTCATTGTAAACAGATAAAGGCTTCTCTTATAATGTACATAACTTCCGTTTCAATGTAACAGTAGCGAAGCGAGGCAGTATGGCGGAGCGCGGTCAGCCACCCCCAAAACGGCTCTGCTGCAGGCCCGGCTTTAACCCTTCCAAAGCGCCGCAGAGGGCGGCCCCGGCTGGCAAAAGCTACAAGCCGGAGTCGCTGCTAGACATTAGTGCCAGGAAAGTAGCGGAGAAGTGGCCTTTCCAGCAAGTGGAAGAGCGTTTCACCCGCATCCCGGAGCCCGTTCAGAGGCGAATCGTCTACTGGTCGTTTCCTAGGAATGAACGGGAAATTTGCATGTATTCCTCATTCAATTATTCGGCCGAGGACGGAGGGGACGACGAGAGCAGACTGCCTTTTAAACGGGGCATCGCACTGCTGGAAAGCGGCTGTGTGGACAATGTCCTTCAAGTCGGTAAGTATCCCCCCCGCCCGCTCCACCTCAACTCTCCTCTCCTCCCCTCCTCCTCCTTTTCCCCTCGGGCTCTTTAACCAAACCTGAAGCCCAGAGGAGAAAGCACTCTGTGCCCACGTCAGGAATTTAAAGAGCAAGCCAGGTGAAGAAGTGTGCACAATACACCCTTTATTTTAAAGGGACAGCATTCCGTCTGATGACTCGGGACAGCGTTGGATTTTAACCCTGTCACTTACAGCCTGGTGCTCCTTTCAGATACGGCACGGAGTTGGTGTAGATTGTTTGAAATGTTCGCTGCCACAAAGAATTCCCCCCCCCCCCCTCCCCAAAAAAAACACTCCTGATCTTTCAAAAAAGATGGCGTCCTGTTTTGCAGCACTCTTTTATTTGTAAAGATATGTTGTTTTGAAATGTTTGCGGGGATGTGTCATTGCTACTGGACGGGGGCAAACAAAATGTTTGTTTCAGGAGGGAACTCCAAAATTCCCCTCGTCCCGCAGAAAGACGGCAGTCTTGGTAACCTTGCAGAATTTTTAAAAAACCAGGATCTGGATTCTGGAGTTCCAGTATAAAGGATTGACAATGAGGGTGACGACGGAGGAGCAATGTAGAATATAATAAGCACATATATTTCATTTTCACTTTTCTTTCCTCTGAAATACTTGATGAGGGATGAGGAGGGGAGTAGCTTTTGTTGGATCCTTGTTATATTTGCCAATTGCGCATATCAAATAGCAGTCAGGCATTGCCTTCGCACCGCCTCGTTACTTTGTTCCCATTTTCATGTTTATTATTTGTCCTTTTCTGTTTCTATCACCCTCCACCGTCGGACAATGGAGCTTTCTTCGCTGCCTTGTTAAAGTCACTGGGGGGAGAAATGTGTGCAGGCTAGTGACAGACTGGCTGCAGAGATCCTTTCATCCCACGAAGAATTGAGAGGGGGATCTATCCAGGGTGCAAGCGATCCGCTGACGAAACCAGATTTAAGTTTGTTCCCCGAAACAACCCCCCCACCCCATCTTTCATCACTAATCTCAATGGTCAGGCTTGTTGTTTTCCATCCCCCCTTGGTCTGTGGTTAATTGGAATTCTAAAGCAATCTGCAAACGTGATTTTCTGCATGATCATTTATTTTCCAGAGTCTCATTGGGCGCAGTGCCCTTCCGCCTAAAGGGCTTTTCGCCCAGTGTGTATTTGGCATTCTTCGCCCCCTTTTTTTCTTTTTGAAATACTAGCTTTCACATTGGCTCAGCTTTTATCTTTCCCCATTGCCTTTCGAAATAATAAATCAGTTTTGTTCACGTTCACTTTTAATTTTGTTTACATATTATTTTTAGAAAGAAGTGGTGGCCGGTTCTGATGGGCTTTTGAGTTTTTTTTGCGCTTGATTCTCCGCATGCAACCGATCGAGAATGACAAGCAGCGCGTACAGGGAGGTTCTTGGCTGATTGCATTTAGCCAGGAATTCACTGTGAAAATAAGCCAAGAGACGATAAATAAAAGATGCAATCTTCCAGGAGACACAGGCGAGCTTTAGTAGCTTTTAACAAGAACGATGTCAAGGGTTTTAAAGGAAATTTTCCGAGGGAGGAGGAACCCCTGCAGGATCTGGGCAGCTTTTGATTTTCCGTGGTTCTGCTGTAGGGAATATTTGGCTCTAGCTCAATAAATTTTTGGAGATGGGACTTATTTTTGAATGAGACAAGTAGCCTTAGTTTCCTCCCCCCCCCTTTTCCCCCCCCCCCCCCCCCCCCCCCCCCCCCCAATTGACTGCATAGTTCAGACACAGTATGTGTGTCTCACTCATGACAGGTCTCCCTCGTGACACTGAACATTATAGCTGACTTTCTTTTAGATGTCCCCTTTTTTCCAGCGCTCCACACGCTTAAACATCCTCCCACCCGGATCAGTTTCATATGGCTAAATACATTGTCAGGATTATCTGAGATGGGCTTTGAATGTGTAATGTACCAGAGGCTTGAGGTATTTAAAGGAAAAATGGGAATTTCATGGAAATTGAGGGAATGAACCAAAGGAAACATTTCAGATTTGCTTCACGTAACAATAAAATATTTGCCATGATAATAGTTTTGAGAAGCCATCAATTTTAGTCAAACTTAGGGCAAACATCTTTGGTGATGGTGTGAAGGAAAAATCTTTTGCGTAGAATCTTACGTGGATTAATGAAGGGAAATATCTGGATATGTGGGTCTCATTTTTGTTCTCTTGAAAATATATAAAACTATCTGCTATCGTTGGAGACAGTAATATCATTGAAGCTAATTTTGGGTGTGACTGGTCAGACTGCAGTTTTGTTATAAACCTGTATCAACATGGTAGTTTGTGCAATGCTTGTAAAATGTGTAATTATTGTCAAGGTCATCAAGTGATTAAAACCATTCCTCTGAGGCTTTTCTTAGTGTAAAGGTAAAGGCTAAGCTGGAAATCATTGTCACAACCATATGAAAAATCAACTTATTACTTTTTTGACTTAATTCTTTATCATCATAGCCTTGTGATGACTTTGATAAGGAGTTGTGTGAACATCCATCTCTGTTCCAGTGGCTGGTGTTTGCTGACAATGATGTACAGCATTTATAACTTTGAGAAATGTTTCTTATGGGTCTATCATTCACTGTAATAGAGGAGATAATAGACTGCTGAAAGTGTTAAATACAGCCTTTGCTGTTCTTTAATTTTATCTATTTGAATAGACAGTACTTGTTGGATTTTGGTCACTACCACATTGCTTCTTTTAACTAGTAGCTCAGGGCTAACTGTTTATGGCTATACTACTTCAGAGCAAATGAAGAGCTCAGTTAGCTGCTGGCTGGTTAATTGTTGCCTATTCTTTTATGTCATTAATTGATATAGCTCTTGTTTATTGTATGAAAACTGAATTAGCAAAATCCCTCACTGCAGGCTTGTATTGTTTAGAATTTAATGTACTACACAAGTGTTTGACTCGTATATCTCATCGTAGGCCATGTTGTTTAAGCCGCATTCCTTCTGTCTTGAAGGCATTTGTACCTGCCCCCATCTGCCTGCACATGCACATACAATTTAAAATCTTTTGACACTTTGACCATGTGCCTACTTAAGCTAGACCCTGTCTTTCAGATGATCACCATTGAGTGCTAATGGTTTCCAACATAAAAATGAGCTTGTGTAGTATTTACTAGTTTCCCACGAGTTTTGCACGTGTAACCTATTATTTGCAATAAGCCTTTGTTTGCTATACATGATTTTCTACTTTGTTGAAATATATTTTCAGTTGCCCAACATGTAAGAATGTAGTTATTTTATAATCTTTATCTGTGGTTGATTATCTTTAGCACATCCATACTATTGAAATCAACTTGTTTTTGTTAGTCAATCATAAATTTTGAAAAATAACTATTGTTTAAGTTGATAAACCTGTTATGAGCTCAATAAAATCTAATTTTGTTTGAATTAGCATGCTGAGTATCAAATATTTCTTTCTGCTGTGAAGCATTTGCTCTGCTCTTTATAGGGCTGATTAATTCAGCACATCTGAGTTTATCCAGTAGAATGAGATACTAGCTTCCAACGCTGACTTATTTTTAATTAGTGTAATAACAAATTGAAGAACATATCAAAAACAACTCTTTTAATGTAATTATTCCTGCAGCAGGAATGAGTGACAATTATCTTTTGTTGTCTCCCCACATCATTATTATCAAATTACTTGTTTGATGTTAGCCTTTTGTGATCTATTATTTTCTCCAGTGACTGGTTGAAGTAGATATTGTGTAGTGAATTATAAAAATTTAGTGAATATTTTTTTGATCCATCTTGGTATAAATAATAAAATACAGGATCCTTTCAACTGTTCAACTAAGTTGCACACAATTATCATATCCTAAATGCAATACCAAGGACCTGTCCCAAGTCTTGGCATGCATGAAATGTAGATGCAAGTTCAGTTTAAAGTGTGAACTTGCAATAAATCGAGTTTACAGACCAAATGTAAATGGGACCTTCACATTACATGCATGTTTTGTATTTGCTAGAAAGCATTAAGTCTCAGTATTCCTGGTGAGGAATGTTATCTAATCTTACCAAGCCAGGTCAGCAGCTCTTCACCACTTTGTTTTTTGGAAATAAAATACTTTGTCATGAGATTGTAAAAGTAGACATGGATATTGCACTGATCGCAATCCTGGTAAAATAATTATCCTTTAGGCCATAAATATCATGACAAACAATGGCAACACCTCTGTAATTGAGAGGAAGAGTGGTGAGTGTTTCAGTTTCAGGAGAACTAAATCTGAAGGGTTTGAAAGTTCTGTTATGTTTGGACGAACATACAATTACAGCGGAATCCCTTCCAAATTTGGCATTTGCAGGGGTTTATAAAAATCTGTTTGACTTAGTGCAGGCCTCTTCTTGCGAACATTTTATTTTCTCTCCTGTAGTACTTTTCATATGGGAAAAGCATGGAATACAGAGTGGCACTTTTGTTTGTAAGATTTGAGAAATTGTCAGTTTGATCATCCATTTGCAATTGTTATGAAAAATGTGCATCTTTAATTAGATGCACGTCAAACCGATGAGCAGTGGCCACGTTATGCAGTATTGAAATCTGCAATTGCTCTTTTCTGTATCTACGGACAAAAAGGCACACTTTTAATCTCCATTTTTGAGGTTTTTTTTGTTGCTCAATTTCATGTGAGAATGAAAGGTCATCTATTTTTGATTCTCTTACAGCTTTATTGGGCAAATTGGAGAAAGCAGAATTTTCAGTAATTAATGGGAGGAAATTGAGATATTTACATTACTTTGACCTTGTTTCTTACTGAACTTTCTGGGGTATAGGGCCAATGATATGTACAGAGAATTATATATTACAGGTAATAAATGCAACTTCAACTTTCTAGATATTAATTCATTAAAAGTTCTGTTGAACAATATTGAATCTTGTGCCCTTTGTTTTGACACAGCTCTCATATTAGTTGGTGACAGAATCCTGAGAGTCA